TCTTGCTTTTATCATCAAATCGTGCAAAACAACATCATATTCCTCTCAATCCAAAATTTTTAGGGTAATATTTCAAAACCTCTGTTTTATTGATTTTTGAATTTAGAACTAGTTTTGATTAGTTCTAGGATGAACATTATATCGGACATTGATTATATTATGATTCTAAACTAGATTTTACAATCAATTTCTTCAAAAAAAAATAAACAATTTTTCAACATTGTCTTTGAATTTTCGAAATAAAAAAATTGTTATTTTCGAAAATTATTGATGTTTTTGATTTAATTGTATTGTTTTCATGAAAACTATATGTATTATGATGTTATTTTGAAATAGTTTTCAAAATCATCCCCATTAGGATTCGGTTTAGAGAACCTTGAATTATTGCGGACTCAATTGAGTTTTAGGATTGATTATTGTGCATACATGTGTTTCAAAATTGCAGGTTACATTCCTAATTCTGATTTCTTAAACCACGTCAAACCCTAAACACCCTAGGACTTCTTCTAGTCGTTCTAACCAACCTCTTAATCCTATTCCTCCTCAAGCTTCAAATCCAAACAATCCCAATATGACCATTCTAAACTCATGTTTTAATATGCCTGAGCGTCGTAGAGAAGAACTCTACCATAGGTACATGGATTCGTTCCAAACTTACAAAATCTGGGAAGAACATATTCCCTCTGTTCAAGCCATGGTAGATATCAACTTTCAATACCTACCGACTCTTAAGTCTTGGAAGTTTGATAAACTGTTTCACCTTAAACCTATTGTCTATCATCAGCTGGTCTGTATTTTCTACTCTAATGCGGTATGTATTCAAAACGAGAGTCAATGTGGGACTATAGGAATTAGATCATACCTTTTAAGACAATATAACCATATTGACTCCGAGACTATAGGTAAACAATTTGGGCTAGATGACAATGGTTTATATAATGAGAAAGAAACCGTGGCATATCCCTATCTTCCTAATGCTAGTGTTAGCACCTTACGTACACACCATGATCGTTTTCTACATTTAATGATCTCTTGGTGGTTTTGACCATCCGAAGGTAGGTACTCTTCGTGTCAGGGATTTATGGTGGATGCATTGTATCAAGCATAATAGAAAGATAAATTTTCCACAAATCATTTTTAATGAACTAGTAGATACTATAAATGTTGTCCCCTCTAAGCATATCAAAACTTTAGTTTATGGGTGTCTACTTAGTAATCTTTTTATCAAACTTGGCCTTAGAGTCTCTCTCGACAATCCTATTCCTCTTCAAAACCAAATCAATCTTACCTTATTAAAGAAAACTGATTGGAAATAGGACAAGGAAACTGGCCAATGGGTCTTTCGACTCAATATGCAAACTCCGGGAGCCAGTTCTTCACGAGCTGCTCCTAGCTCTTCTCGTGCTCCTCCTCCTCCGACATCGGCTGCTGACGATGATCCCAAGCTTCAACAGTTTATGCAAGATATTGACAATCACATACCAGACGATGAGCCTGCATAAGAACCAGCACAGCAAGAAGATCAAACGCCACCATATTTTCGATCTTTCTTAGAGTTGTTTGATCTGAGGTTTGCTTCCATGGAGTCTCAGATAACTTAATTTCAACGGGAGATGTGTGAACGTATGGACGCTCTCACTCTTGAAGTACAAGCACATTATCCTCCTCCTCCCGACCCTCCGATGGAGTAGATCTTTACTTGCCATGCTTTCTTGAACTTAAAACTTGGATTGATAAACATTTTGCTGCTTTTGGATTGTTTTAATTTGGTTGTTGGATGTTTGAATTTGTTTGGATTTATGGATTTTAGAACTTATTATATATATATATATATTTGATTGATGGACTTATATTGGTTTAATTAGATTTTTGCATCATTTAGACATATATGACCAATTTTCCATTACATATCTATTTATGATTATTGATTATGAAACTAATGGATAACCTTCTCTTGATTTTGATCTTAGCAGCTTAAGCTACATTTATATATATCAATTCGCTATATTTTAAACATTTTCAATACTTTTAATGGAGTCTTTTTTTATTTAACAAAAAGGGGGAGAAGATGTATCATAGTAAGGGGAGTAATTTTCAAAATTGATTTCAAAAATAATTTTCTTAAAACAAATCTTAAAATTACTCAAATGTTTTGTTATATCAAAAAGGGGGAGATTGTTGAAAAACATTTTGATGTTTCGATATAAGAAATTAAGTTAAATGAATTTTAAGATTTTACAAATGATTTTCTAAGTATATTCGATTTAATTACTCGCATATCAAAACATTACTCCAAGTCTTTCAAAGTTTAATTTCAATCCTTATTAATGTGTAAGATTGTGTTTTATACTTAAAATATTTTTGAAACAATTTTCACAAAGTATTTCGAACCAAAAACGAGCCAAAAATAAAAATTGTGAAAGGTTGCACCGATGCACTCATTGATTCATCGATGCACTCACCATATCGAATGCATTTTATGCATCGATGCACTACCATGCATCGATACACTCAGGTTTTATGAAAACATCGAATGCATTTTATGCATCGATGCACAGACCATGCATCGATGCACTCAGGCTTGTTTAAAACATCGAATGCATTTTATGCATCGATGCACTCTTAGTGCACCGATGCACTAAGGGTTCAACGGTCGAAATATTTGAATTTTACACATAGTGTACCGATGCACTAGCCTTATGCATCGATGCATAAGGCTAGTGCATCGATGCACCAGACGCTCCCAACTGTTTTATTAATTGTTTTCACACTTAAACGGCTCCATTGACTCCACTAATCATCCCCAATCTTCAGAATCAATTGAAGGAGTATTTAAACAAGCTTAAAAGTCATTGATCAAAACAAGAAACAACAATCAACAAGAATCAAGAGAGAATCAAAGAGAAAGCATCAAACCTCAAGTTTTAGCATTTTCAAGCCTATTTCATTCAATATTCATTTTTGCTTTCAAGAACACTTATTGTACTCAATTGTATTATTCTTGAGTGTTCTTTCTTTGTTCTAGAATTGTGCAAACATCTTGCTTGTGAGGATTTTCTTGTAAGTTTGCAAAATTTGTATTGTTCTCTTTGGGAGAGAGTGTTCTCAAGAATTTGGGGTATAATTCTTGAGGGATTTGTAAGGTTACTCTTTGTCCTCAAAAGAAAGAAAAATTAGTGAATTTGTGGAAAATCCTTAGTGTGGATAGCTAAGGTAGTGGACGTAGACTTTGGTTGAGAAAGTCGAACCACTCTAAATCGCTGTGCAAATATTTTCAAATTTCTGCGAAAGCTTTCACCGAAATTTTTATTGCCAATTCACTCCCCTCTTGGCCGATTCCATCGATCGATTAACTCAACAGATGCGTCAGGTCCCTACACTTTGGGAGTCCATTACTTTATTAACTTAAAATAGGGAAAATCATTAAATAATCCCTCTAATTTATGTGCATATTTACACGTTAGTTCCTAATTTCTCTATTTTTTTATTATTTCAAAATTAGCTACTATATTTTTATTTTCTTTTATTTTTGATCTATTTACTTTGCTTTATTATTTTAGTTATATTAATTCTCTATTTTAATCTTCTAAACTATTTTATTATGGGCCTTATATTCTGATATCTTTTATTTTAGTTCTTTACTTTATATTTTAATTTCAGCTTTGCATCTTTTCATTTATTTAATTGCATTCCTTTAATTTCACACCTTTAATTTTCTATCTTTTTATTATTATCCTTATATTTTAATATTTTAAATTTAATACTTTAATTATAACTTTTTTATTTTAATCCTATGAATATATATGAAAAATTCATAAGCATAACTTGATCAATTTCATAATTTGATTAAATGATAATATTTATTTTTAAATATTAAGAAATGATTGTCTTAACATAACTAGATGTCATATTTTAATATTTAAAAATGAATAAATGTTTTGTTTATAAAAACCTAGAAAATAAAATATGTTTAACTTAATTATATTTATTTTGATATTTAATTTTTAGAATTTTCTTAGAATTTTCTTTAAATAAAATTATGCGATTAAATATGGAATAATGGGATTATAAATTGAAATTAAATATAAATTTGTTAATTTATTGCAAAGACGTTAATTAATAAACAATGTACCAATTTTGGGCGTTGTGTGGGTGCTAATCCTTCTCCACACGTAACCGACTCCTGGACTCATTTTCTGGTAAGCAGACCCTTTTTGTGTTATTTTAATATTATTTTTATAAATTTTATTAAAATAACAGCATTTCTTGTGACCAATCACACCTTGATAAAATGATTGGTGGCGATTCTTTAAAATTATATTTTATCTTATGCCAGAAGAAAAACACTTACTTTTTTGAGACGAGATTTAGAGAGCAACGACACTTGTTTTCGCCGGGCGAAATACCGTCTCGACACTATGTATATATTAAATATAATAAAATGTATTTGAAAGAAAATAAAAATTCATCAATTTCTTTCATTAAACTTCATCAATTTCTTTAATCAAACTTCATCAATTTCTTTCATCAAACTTCCTTCAACCATTATGGGCCTAGTTAATGCAATGACGGTACTGTAAATATTATTGATTTAATCATTCATGATTCTGAATGTAAATGAGTTTATGGGTGAAATTAGGCTAATGATAATGGGTTGGATGAGTTACTACAATGATAAGGGAGAACAATGTTTATTATAGCACTTATGAATAACATTGTAACTTGTGGTGATTCTGAACTCATTGAGTGATCTTAATCGTAAAAGAGAATATAGTTCTCCTTAAAGGATTCGGGTTCAAGTAGTTGCATCTGCAGGGTATGTATACACTGTCAATAAACTAAAACAATTTCGAACATATATATACTTGTAATTACCCATATTAAAAAAAATAGATAGCTAATGTATTCTAAAATAATTGTGGAAGATTCGACAAAAAAAGGGATAGAAGAAAATAAGATTATTAGATTGTTATTGAGGTAAATCAAAATACAAGTACTGGGTTTGTTACATATTTAGAATTAATGACGCAGAGTGAGATTATCTCATAATTATGACGCATAGATAGATAGGCTATGTCATAAATAGAACTTATCGGAAAGAAGCTAAGCATGACAACAATTGGAACAAAACCAAGCATGGGATTAAAACTGCAAATCTATAACTTGCTTAGCAAAACTACGGCTTACACTTAGTTCTCACCTGATACACGGCTTTGCTTCTCCTCTATACCCGATTGAGAGAATCTTCGCCGAAGAACTTCTAGGACATTTTCTATCTTTACGCCTTTACGCCTTAGTAAAACCATGGCATGGTAGAGTACATCCGCCATTTCTGAGCCTGCACGTGAACCATCCTCGTTCTCCTCCAGTGTTTGGCACAACTCATCTGCTTCTTCCCTGCATAAGTAAACGGGCTTATATAAAATTTAACATGCAAATACCATATACATACTCTTAGACATACAAAAGAGTTTTTTTTTTTATAAAAGTTGGAGGTCTCATTAAAAACTCCCTTCGTATTCGTCCACGTACTAATAAAGACATACAAAAGAGTTAAAGGACACATGGCATATATCATATACATACTTTAAACATTCTGCTCATTAGATGTTTAACACTTTTCTTGACAAATTTGGGGCAAATACAAGGTAATATATGTTCAAAGACTCAACCTAGTTAGGACACATAAAATTAGCACAGTTATGGTAAAACTAACTATACCGGATTTTTGAGCACAACAAGTTTTCATCGCTTAAGAGTCGTTTAGTCCACGAGGGCTTTCCATGTTGCCCCGCTAACTCTAATTCTCTTTTGGAAATTGTTGATTCTAAAGAGTATAAAGTTGTCAATGCCAAGTTAGTTTCTTCAACCTGCCAATACAGACTAAATTAATTCCAAACTTGCAAATAACACCATATAATGTAATTTTGAAGTATGGATAAAAGATTTTGACGATTTTGTTAAACGCGAGAGCTGCTTACTTCTTGCTCCTTCAACAAATCACTTATTGATGTGAAATAGCATGTCTCTGACCCTGTGTGGCAGGTAGGGCCATCAGGCTTCCCAAGGTAAATTATCTAAAGGAGAAGTATCAGTTATGTCAAACTTAATACATTATGCAATCAATAAAAATGCCAAACAGAAAGTAGATTTTGAACGAACAGAATCACGATCACAATCAACAAATATGTCATGAATGTTGATGAAATTATTGGAAGTTTCTCCCTTTGTCCACAACGTTGCCCGTGATCGACTGAAGAACGTCACCTTCCTAGAAGAGATTGTTGTAGCTAGTGCATCCCTATTGACAAAGCCTTGCATTAATATGGCTCCTGTATCAACATTTTGAGCTATAGCCACTGCTAAACCTTTGTCATCCCATTTTATACTATCCAACAAAGTATCAACCTATAATTAAAAATTTACATATTTAGGTCATTCTCCATGTACGTGTAGTTTTTCAAAATATGAAGAAGCATGAAAAGAACATATATAAAACAAATATAAATGAAAAAGCATGCAAAACACTTCTTCAAAATAACCATGCTTCTAATACACTATACAGTGCAAAGAGCTACTACATGCTATATTCAGAAGTCATAAAACAAGTTTCCCAAATCACCATGTTAAACAAATCAGAGATCTAATCTTTAAGAATAAAAGATTGACAACTAAATTAAAGAGGTTTTGAAAGATGAAGGGTCCAGATGCAACTCAAGTAATAACTGAACCCAAATTGCCAAGCAATAGGACTCTTTCAAGGGATGGTTACCAGATGGATTGGGAGCCAAACTGTCAATCCCTTCCCTATCTTTAGTTTTCCAGATATGTAACAATCAGTACTATAATGTCAAAGATAGGGACCTGATGTATTTCGGTTAATTCATAGGCACTAGTCAAAACACATATATTGAAAAGGAGTGCTAGGGTAGTAACTAAGAATAGGAACAACATTATTTAACTATTTTTGTGGCATGCAAATGCCAGGTTAACTTACCAAGAGTAATTCAGGCATCAAATATTGGCATGAGTTATGGCAAAGCCAGGATTCACAGCTAAGGCAAAGTCCGTTACTATTACAAGACTGCTAAAATCAAATCAAAGTTTGATAAATCTTTTTCCTATCTAATGTTCACTAATAGCTAACCTGTCTAGCTTATCCTTTTGCATTCATTTGGCACACCACATGTATTCATAAAGGTATGTATGATTAGATAATATTTAAAGATCTGGCCACCAGAATAAGACAAAAATATTTCACACTTTTCTTGCTAGGATAGGATCAAAGATAAACCCGTCTAAAGTCTGTGCTTTGCAAACTATTTAATCAAACAATGGCTTGATAGAGTAAAAAACAGTCGCATAATTCTACTAAAAACTGTTGGCCGATTCATCAAGAAAATGCACATCAAAAACATTACCTTTGTTTGAAAGTTGGTATCTTTCTCAAATTTCCTCAAGGAAGACAAACAATTAGCATTCATCTTTTTCTTCATGTTGAATCCACCACAAACACCAGCAGGAAAGAAGTTAGAGACTTTGAAAGAAACACTTGCAGGTTGAATACAAGGGAGAGATGAAATCGTCATTGAAACTTCAAATTTAAAATGGCTATATTCCAGTTACGTCTATGTAAAGCTGAAAATAAAAATGGGAAGCCAACATTACTAAAAAACTAACAACCAGAAGAATGTCATTAATTTAATTTAGTGAAAACGATTCAGAGTTTCATATAAATGCAAAGAAGAGTAAAAAACAAGGCATTGTTTGAACCGCAACAAGAAGGGAAATCAAGCTGTAGCTGAGATATAAAAGAAGGCAAAACACTTTATAGTTTATATTGCTTCGAGTGTGTGAACCCTATGGGAAGCAATCAAAATTGATAACTACCAGATACAGAACCCGTTTGAGAACACAGAAAAGAATGGGGTGTAAAACGCTAACATGCAACAAAACCAAAATAAGGGAAACCGTTCTTGTACAGAGATGACAAAGCAATGGAGTGTCTTTAAATCTTGTGAAGTTGCTAAACCCCAACTCGCAACAAATCCTTAACTTGAAAACAACACAAGGGCATTTTCTAGGAACTAAAATACAATCTATCTATATATACTTACATAAAATCTTTGACTGGCCTCCATATCACAGATTAATTGAGCATCAACTCAATCAATGAAATTAAAATAAAACACACACACACGCCAAGCATAAAAACCCAACCAAGTGTTTTAATTGCTACTAGATTTTGAAACATGTCAATTATATCAGTGAAGAAAATCATTTTCTAAAAAGAATATGCATTCTAGAAAGATGTATTTTAAGCGCTATATAATTATTAACAAAATATTAATCATCAAATTAGAACATCATAATTTAAATTGCTAAACTCAAGCTAGGGGAAATCATATTTTACATCGAATATAACAGCAACGAAACCAATCCGAAAACAAATGCAGAAATTTACAGGTACCCAGAGCTTCAAATAAATAATAAGCCTAGAGGATAATGGAAATAGAGGGACCCCTCCAAACTCTTATCTTTAATGTGAAACCCATGAATGGAACCTACGAATGTTTGATAAAAACGCAAGACCAATTCGAGGAACAGAAAAGAAAAAAAAAATAGAGAATGGGGATCGAAGCTAACCGTCGACACTCGATACTCCTGAGCTAAGCCTGGAGGCAAATTGAAATTGGCGAGAAGGAAGGCGACAAGGCAAAGCTTAATAGTTTACTTCACTATGAGTAATTTCTTGGGTTAACTACACATTTAGTATTTCAACTATCAATTTAATTTCGTTTTTGGACACCCTACTATTTGTCTTCAAAATCATTCCTAATATTTAATTTTAGTTTCATTTTGGTCACCCACTATTAAAAAATTAATGGTGATGTTGATGTATCACAATAAGATAATTTCATATCATCGTTGAAAAATAAAAATGTCACATCAATAGTTATGTTAATTTTTTAACAATGGGTGACCAAAATAAAATTAAAATATAATAAATATACAAAATGTGCCTTACTTATTCCCTTTTTTCCAGTTTAGTGCCTAATGTTTATTTTATTCTTGTTTGGTACCTAACGTTTCATTCCGTTACTCAAAATGGGTCAAGCCGTGACGGACCGTTAAGTTTGACCGTCAAGTAACACGTGTCACAACCTGATAATTTTAAACAATTTATTTAAAATTGAAAAATTAAGAATATATATATATAAGAAAACATAAAATTTGAAATAAACCCAAAACTTTGAAAACCTTCATTTCAATCCCTAAAACCATGTAGGTCGTCGCCTTTTTCCGTCAACAAAGCTCAACCCGACCTCCCCTCCCCTCTTCTCGGTGACCAAAATCCCCATAAAATAATGATCGATCGACTGTCGAAATCGCGTGGCATCACGATTTTCATCATAGGGTTCGCGAGGTATAAAATGTTGATTCTTTATCGATCGGTCGTCAATCAGTCATGATTTTATGGGGGTTTTGGTCGCTGAGGAGAGGGGAGGTCGGGTGGAGTTTCATCGACGATAAAAGGCGACTGTTGGCGTGGGTTTAGGGGTTAAAATGAAGGTTTTCAAAATTTTGGGTTTATTTCAAAATTTGTGTTTTCTTTTTAATATATATATATATATATAATTATAATGTTTTAATTTTAAATAAAATTTTAAAATTACCAGGTTGTGACATGTGTCACTTAACGACGAAATTAACATTGTTGACGACCCAAGCACTTAAAATAGTAACGGAATGAAACATTAGACACCAAATTGAAACGAAATAGACGTTAGGTACTAAACTGAAAAAACATGCATAAGTTGGGAAGCTTTTATATATTCAAGCCTTAAAAAATAAATGGTGACCAAAACGAAATAAATATGATAATTGAATACTGATCGTGTAGTTTGCCCTAATTTCTTTTAGGGCAAACTAAAGTTATTAACTATTTGATTGGATTTTATTTTAATTACTAAATTAGAATTGTATTAATTAAAACATTAAAATTTTAATATAATTTCAATTAAGTTATGGACTAATATTTATTAAAAAAATTATTGACGCGATTATAATATGTGTTCATCTTATTGTTAAAAATTAAAAAAAATAAAACTAAAGATACTTAAATTTGGATAAAATGGTTTAGCAGATCATAATAAAACTTTTTTTTTTATTAATCTAGGGTGATTTGATTACACATGGTAGTCTCAGTTCTAAAGACTCTTAATCATTTAATGATGAATGCTCAAATATCCCATAATCGTTGGTGTTCGAATCCAAAACTTCTGGAAAAAAAATCACCCTTAACTACTGAGGTCGTTTAATTCATCTCATTAATATAATTAAATCCAGAATTTTGTGAACAAGTATAAACTCAGAATCTAAAATCCAAAGTAAACTTGAGAAACTGAAGATACAACATAATATCCAAATCTATATATGTAATATTTACTGATGTAAAAGCTCAATAGCTCTTAGCAAAGTGATTTTTAAATATATTGATGTCAAGGTTCACATTTTGTTTGTCCAAATAAAATGTTACATGTATAAAATATGAGACAAAAAGAAAAGAAAATAAAATCTTATAGATCCAAAATTTGCTTCCATGGTAATTTATACAAGTCGCGGCAAACGACATTCAATTCCTCGACATGATCTCATCATAAAATTCCTATACATGAATCAAGAATGAAACAAACACAATTGATAACATGGAAAATATTCGATTAAATAATCTGAATAGAAAACCATAAATATATGACTAGTAATAAGTTAAGGCATGCAATTACGCACTTTCCTTAAGATAGATTTTCGGCTACTCCTTGTTGCTCGAGATCTTTGGTCGTCTGTCTCCCAGGATACAACAATAAGATGATCAACGCACAATAACACAACTACTGAGGTCACGAACTATTCCTTGTCTTCGTCTATCACTAAAAACTAGAGAAAAGAATTCCTTTGAATTGGTTTTTGAGTTGTTTTTTAATTGTGTTTAACCTAGTAGGTTAACACAGTATTTATAGGGAGTATACATTGTGAATAATTGAAAATTTTTGACCTAATGAAGAATTAATGAGAATCAAGAAATTTCCAAACTTATTGTTTTGATTAAAGGAACATTTTTAATATTTATCCTTTTAATTCTAAAACGGATTTTGAAAGATATGTTCTTTTTGAGGAAAAATTATTTCACCTTTTGTTTAAAATATTTGCAAGCCCACAAAGAGCTAGACTGGCATGGACATTCACGTTACCCACATTATGCACGTCTGCATATTTACGAATCAATAATTGGTTCTACACTTTTTTCAACAATGTTTGGATCAATTTCTCATTCAAAGCTCCAAAATTATTAAAATTTTCCAACAATCCCCCACATGAATGAAATTGATCATTTTATCAAAACCATTTTGACTCGATGTGGTGATAGACTCTACGATCGATAATTGTATATGATAGGTAGGTGTCCTCCTTTGAACCTTCCCTTGTGACAATATATTTACTTTACTAGCTGACTAGTAGACGTGATGTCCTTGAACTGTTATGTCGTTTGTGTAAACGATGATATACTTCATACAACTACCTCCTGACAAGAATTTTAGTTCTCATGGGTATGTCCTTAAAGCCACGTACATTGCCTGGTTCTACAAGATTTTCAAAGAACTATGCCCAATATTTTCTTTGAAGCGGCTCCTGTAACATCCTAAACTAGTACGACACACAGTTGACCAATCAAAATGCCACACGGAACCACCAGAGTGGCTAACCAAATTTTTCTTTTAATTTTTTTGTTTTAAAATGATCATTTATAACCACTCATGCTAAAATAAATCAACCACAATTTAAATAAAATATTTTACATTAGGAGCTCCCAAAATAATATTTAAATCATACAGACCATAATTTAAAATGAGTTATGACTCAAACAAAAATATACAAATCGAGGTTTACAATTATACATGCCCTCTAAAGATGAACTCGAGATGTAGTCTGCACTATATGGGTCTGGATCATTGCTTTCAAAAAGTCCTCGAATTGCTCCTCGACTAATCTGCGTAAGGAAACAAATTTCAAACACTTAGCTAACTAGCCCAATGTCACACTAACAACTAAGCCATACTAAAAGTGTTCATGCCATGCTTAAGCTAACTGATAATTACAATAGTGAGTATACCCGTATACAACACTCTCTACTCTATTGTAGAAATCATGGTGCAGCTGAGGGTGATGCATTACGGAGCTCACACACCCTTCTAGTCTACAGAGATCGGTTGCTCGAAATTTCTGCATCGGTCACCCCCCTCGACTAGCCCACTCCTTGAGTGTCGGACCTTGCGCCCAACTAGTTAGCTTTAAGTGCCTCACGCACTACCTAAGGATATATCTGGACTGAATCTATACTTTCGATAATGCTAGCATTTTCTAAAGGAACTCAGATATCCTGATTGTTTCCTGAGCATCATCCAAGGCTATTTTTATGTTATCCTAATTGATATTGTTTCTAAGTGTAATATTAATGTCTTTAATATTCTCACTTGTAGTCTTATTTGATGATATAATGAAGTGTTGGGGTACCTCGAGTCTAATTCCCTTAAAGACTGACATTTTTGCCCAAAACAGACTAAAAGTATCGATACTAGCCCAATAATATCGATACACCTACAAACGTTTTGATACTTTATATAAGCATCGATACTTTTAAACATTATGTTCCACCCATTTTTGAAATTTTCTAGGAGTTTCGAAACTATGACCTAAAGTATTGATACTCTTGAAAGAGTTTCGATACTGCTACCCAAAAAACACGATTTTACTCATAAACGAAGAACAAGTATCGATATTATCCCTATAGTATCGATACTCTACCTGCAGAAGTCATAAACCAAGTATGAAAAACTCTATTTTTCAATCCCAAAGACCTTAGTGAGGTCTCAAAACATGCTTAAAGTTTTATTTGATCAACAACGGTCTTAATAGAGGCTTTAAACACATTTATAACTCTAAAATCAAGAATTTCACCATGAAAATAGTTATCATGATCAACTCAAACGTTTAAACTTGAGCTTCTAATGACTCACTAAGAGTATAGAATAGTTGTAAAGGAGTTACCTTGCTCCTTGGATGGCTGGAAACTTTTTCAACTCACTCAAGATTCAACTTTTCTTTTCCTTTAGCTATTGACCTTTCTCTTATATCCCTTAGTAAACAAAATGAGAAAATGGATTACCAATTCATCTAGGAGTTGAATAACATCTAAACAAACTCCCTATTACTAAAAACTTAGTGTTGAGTTAATCGATTGACGGAATCGGCCAAGAGGGGGTGAATTGGCAATTAAAAAATTTGTGGAAGCTTTTGCAGAAAATTGAAGGTAATTGCACAGCGATTTAGAGTGGTTTGACTTTATCAACCAAAGTCTACATCCACTACCTTAGCTATCCACACTAAGGATTTTCCAACAAATTCACTAATTTGTTCTTTCTTTTTGAGGCCAAAGAGATAACCTTAAAACTCCCTCAAGAATATACCCCAATTCTTGAGAACACTCTTTTCTCAAAGAGAATATTACAAATTTGCAAACTTACAAGAAAAAACTCACAAGGCAAATATGTTTGCACAATTCTAGAACAAAGAAAGAACACTCAAGAATAAATACAATTGAGCGCAATAAGTGTTCTTGAAAGCAAAATGAATATTGAATGAAAA